ATTTTCTGTTTCCTGCCTAACAGTATTTAAAAAAAACTTAGAAGCAGAAACAATCAAAAGAAACAATCAGAAGCAGGATTTAATATTTATTCTCAAAGCGTTTTGGAGTAGAGATAGCTTAAAAGCTTTAGGCTAGTTACTGAATGATCATGTCAGAACATGAACCTGGGCTGGCCTGTGGCTCACTCGGGAGAGTGTGGTGCTGATAACACCAAGGCCACGGGTTCGGATCCCATATAGGGATGGCCGGTTTGCTCACTGGGTGAGTGTGGTGCTGACAACACCAAGTCAAGGGTTAAGATCCCCTTACCGGTCATCTTTTTTAAAAAAAAAAAAAGAACATGAACCTGACATGTGAGAGCATATTGGCTCACTGGAACCAAGGAATAATAAAGAGCTGAGGAAAAAAGAAGGCTTGACAAGAACACCATATAAATGTCTAGTAAGCTTAATCAGTTTCTCCAGGGTAGTTGCCATGAGTCTAGATCTGAAGAAACCCCAAATGTGTATGAACTAACGCGTAAAAAAATATAGCCATGGAGCAGCAAAGAGAAAATGTATTTAAAATTTTTATAGGTATGGATAATTTTCTAAGACCAGGTAATTGAATTTATTGATAAAAATAACTTGCTCACATCATCTATGAGAACTACTACATATGCTAATTCCTGGGATCCTTGCTATTATTTGCAGTAGCTATTAGCAATAACTGTCTTTTTTCCCCCCCTTTCAACTGTACTAAGTGCTAAAATTACATTGTCTCTTTTTACCCATTTACCCGCACTCATATATATTGAAGGTTTGGGTCTACTCAGTATCTGCAGTGCTTAGCTCATAGCATCCAGGACTGAGTTTCCACTGGAAATGGAGAAATGGCAGAGGTGATCCAGTATAAATCTAGAGAGGAATGCTTCTTAATCTTGGGATTCAGACTCCTTTAAGAATCTGGTGTAAGCCATTTTTCTCCAGAAAAGGCTCACACAGGCACTAAAATCTTTATGAGATTTCATTAAGGTTTGTGGCCCACAGTTAAGAACTTTAGCTTTAGAACATGCTTTAGAATTTTGACTAGGTTCTTACTCTAGGAGTCAGTTGTATTTATGAGGCAAATCATTCATTTATTCAATAAATATTAAATGAGTACTAACTTGGTGACAGTTTCTTGAGATACATCTGTGAGCAAGCCCTTATGAAGCTTACATTTTATTGCAAAGGCAGATAATAAGTAAATAAGTAAAAGAATTTCATAATAGTAAGTAATGAGAGGAAAATAAAATAGTAATGTGATAGAGTGGTTGTGTGGGAGCAGCACTTCCAGATTGAGTGCTGGGGACAGGAGACAATTGCGATGAGACCTAATTTCTTACTCATTAAGACTATATATATCAGATTTTTTGGTAATGACTTTTATCTTAATAAATAAGCCATCAGGATGAAATATCAATTTACTTACTAACTTCTCTAAGTATATTAGTATTTTGAGAGCATCTCTTGCTGTCTCTCTGTTTGTATGCATTCCTATCACATAAAGCAATGCTGCCCTCTGGTGGTAGTCCCTTTAATAGCATGCTGGCTTTACCTTTGCAAATCTATTATAAGGGTGTGACCTTTATTTAGCAGGATTTATTTCTGAAAAAGAGATGTCTTTTTTAGATTATGTTTGAATTTAAAGGGCCTTTACCCTTATAATTCATTTGAAAAGCATAGTCTCAAATTCTTGGTGTGGTTTTCTATGTTCAATAATACTTATGCCATTGAAGGAAAGTTACTTAAATGGAAAGAACCCGACTCTCAGAACTGAAAGCAGTACTGGGACAATAAACTAGGCAAGGTGAATTGCTTATACAAGTGTGGAAAATCTGGGACTTGAATTTGCTCACCAAAACATGTATTATATTAAATTCCCTGTTCCAAAGGGCTTATATAAGTTAAAAGCACCTTTTTAGTAGAAAACGTTTAAAAGAATGTACTTTAGAATGTAAAAAAGACAAATTACAGTATTTAGGAACAATGAACATTATTAAAAGAACTTTATGTTAAAAAATTAAAAAATTTCCAGCAAGTCTTCAATTGAAAGCTTCATTTTGGAGTAGTGTTTCTTATCTCTTAGAGAGTAATTTGACTCGAACAATGTTTTGTTTTGCTTTTCTATTTCAGAAAATTTATATAACAGATTTGAAAAAGTATTAGGTAGCTGACGGTTGAAAATAAATTTGACTTATTTTTCTAAAGCAAGGAAAAATCTATTATACCTAGGGTCTTATTTTATAGTGGCACCTCTTCCTTAGGCCCTTGACTGGGTAAATCCTTTCAGTTCTTTCTGGTAGTCACCTCAATGAGAGTAGAATTTATAAAGGTTGATAATTGCACATATTTCTAGTTGAATCTTTATCAGACGATGCATATTTTTGAATTATTTACGTTCCATGGCCTAGTCATTATGTGCTGTTTGGTGTACTTAAAAAACATAATTGTGGGGGCCGGCCTGGTGGCGCACTGGATAAGTGCGCCACTTGGGAAGCGCGGCGGCGCTCCCGCCCGAGGGTTCGGATCCCACATACAGACCGGTTCCCGCTCACTGGCTGAGCGAGGTGCGGGAGCAACACCGAGGGTTGCAGTCCCGTTGCCGGTCCCCGGTCCGGTACGGGGGCAACACTGAGGGTTGCGATCTGTTGCCAGACACAGAAAAAGACAAAAAAACAAACAAACAAAAAAAAACCATAATTGTGTAATTTGGTTTTCAGAGCCCCATAGTGGTTTCATACAAAGTCATGGTATAAATCACAATAAATAGTCTGAAATTATTTTTGACTAAAGATAATATGGGTAGAAAGATTGTGTAATTTAACTGGACAGTGTGATTTCTATTTATATTTATTTCACAAAAAGATATAAAACATATCTAACAGTTCTTTTATCTTCATATACTTTTGCTGGATAGCACACTTAAAGCTACTTGGTCTCTATTATGCTTAGTTTGCTAAATGTTAAGTTAATATTCTTTTATGAATGTGGCTTGATAAGAATTATAGGAACATCTTTATAGGACCATAGTATGCACAATCTTTGAATTGGCAGTTTTTGGTGATAAAATCACCATGTATATAAATATGCCTTGCTTTTTTATTACAAACAAACAAAAAAAAAACATAATTGTGTAATTTGGTTTTCAGAGCCCCATAGTGGTTTCATACAAAGTCATGGTATAAATCACAATAAATAGTCTGAAATTATTTTTGACTAAAGATAATATGGGTAGAAAGATTGTGTAATTTAACTGGACAGTGTGATTTCTATTTATATTTATTTCACAAAAAGATATAAAACATATCTAACAGTTCTTTTATCTTCATATACTTTTGCTGGATAGCACACTTAAAGCTACTTGGTCTCTATTATGCTTAGTTTGCTAAATGTTAAGTTAATATTCTTTTATGAATGTGGCTTGATAAGAATTATAGGAACATCTTTATAGGACCATAGTATGCACAATCTTTGAATTGGCAGTTTTTGGTGATAAAATCACCATGTATATAAATATGCCTTGCTTTTTTATTATAAAATGTGATTTATACACATATGACTTCGGTGGAAAAACCAGGGATCCAACCATGCCTGCCAGTGCCAAAAATAAACTCAGCCCCAGGAAGTAGAGGTGACTGTTTAAAGGTTAACAAAAAAAAAAAAGGTGCCTCACTGTATGTAATGCCTATCATTTTGGATGTTCTGATAGATTAAGTTTCTTTCAAGTGTGGAAGTGGAAAAAACTTACAACTTTTGGTGTGAAGCCATATCTTCATACCTTTATTTGAAGGAATGTATATTTACATATATACATACGCATACACAGACACATACACAAAGGTACTTCAAAAGTTTCGTGAAAGAATACAAGACAATACAAATCTTTCCATGAACTCTTTGAAGTACCCTTGTATATGTGTGTGTATGTGTATATGCATTTTTTTTTTTGGTGGGAACTAATCATTGATTCTCATTTAACTTTCAGTTTATATCAGCTTCAGCATTATTCTACAACTGCCATTATGTTAGGATTAGGAATTCACTATGAGAAAAACTAGTTCTTTCAGGGATCATATCTAGATTTTTTTCACCTAGGAATAAAAATTACACTTTCAGTTTATATCAGCTTCAGCATTATTCTACAACTGCCATTATGTTAGGATTAGGAATTCACTCTGAGAAAAACTAGTTCTTTCAGGGATCATATCTAGATTTTTTTCACCTAGGAATAAAAATTAGGACAATATTGATTTGAATGTATAGTTTTGAATAACAAAACCGAATCATTTAAATTATGCTATTTTAAATGTTAACTGTAATTTTTACCTTAATTAAAATAACTTACAAAAGCTTGGCCTTCTTTAACCCTTAAAGAATAAAAAAGTTCCAGTTTTGACATTATATTTAATGTATTTTCTCTCTTTCAGTTTGTAAATATGATGGAAAATGTTTGTTGACTAGTGTATTTTGCATTTCTCTTTATTTTTGGAATCTAAACTAATTCTTGGTGAAAATAAAATCCCCAATATTAGGATTATTATTGCCTTTGTAACAGTGGCTTCAAAAATCATATATAAATATCAGGGAGAAAGGGGGAGAATGCATAGGACAAACTTTATAAAAGCATGCCACTGTCAGAGATTATTGAACATTCTAAATGAAGTGTGGTGGGTCATTTGGGATTTAAAACTTCATAGCTTCTCAGTTAGTGTTGGTGCAAAGCCTTTTCGGTTTAGTGGCTCCTTTTTATATTACATAGAATATCTTGTTATTCATAAATGGCACATTGATGATGAAACATAATAGTAAAAACTTTGGCATAGTTTCACTAATATATATGCTTTATTGGTGTATTCACTGTTTATCCTGCGATAGCCTGTTACTTTTTATGGCCGTTTAAGTTAACATGATAGATTCAATTTTACTTTGACATTTTAGTACCTTTATAATCATATGAGTATTTCCCTCATTTGCAGGTGCTGCTGTTTTTTCAAACGAAGGAAAAGGAAAACCATACAGCGCCACAAATGACTCTTGACACAGATCATGGGGAGTTACTTACGTGTTCATCTGCTGTCTTGTGATTAAAATCATCTCTATAGTGACCACATGTATTTTCAAAGACTCACTCTTAGAAACAAAAATGTCATACTTTCATACTTCATTTTGTGGTTGTCTTACATTCATATTTTTTTCTAATTTAACTTTTATGGAAGCTTTACAGTTTTGTCAAAACATGAATGCTTTGCCCATCAATGAATGGAACGGACCAATGAGGTGGTGGTATTGATGGATATAGTTCTGTGGAATATTTTTCAGAAGCTCTTCTCCTGTTGTAGAAAGCAGTACAGTATCTTAACTGTCAACCAGTTATGTACCTAATCTGGTTTTTTATATGTTCTGTAAGAGCATAATCAAGCAGGAATTTTCTTCCCAGTGGATAATGCAACAGAGAAAACAAGAGTTACCCGAATATTTAAAAGAAGTTATTCCTTGAGAAGTTCATATTTTGTGACATCTACATTGATTTCAGTATTACGGATGGTACTGTAATTCATGAGTAATATTAACATTCTCTTTGTGAAATCATGGTACAGTCACTGCCCAGAGGTACTGAGGAAAAAGCTCTATGGGTTCAGTAGATGGTAGTGGTAAAATGAATCATAAGTAGTGTGGTATGAGCTCTGCTTTTGTTGCACCACTATGTGAAGTATCATGTTGCAAAAGTGGCAAAAGCGCTTGTTTTAAAAAATGCAAAATATTTGTATAATGTAACTTTATGCTTCCAGATAATAATGTATGTTAGACAGCAAGAAATGAATACTTTGAGAAGTGATATATGTTGGAGTTTTTAAGAAATACACTAAGGAGAAGAAATAAATGTGAACTTCATTGTAATGTATAAGGTTGAAGCCTAAGGAGATCCCACTGAAACCTACTGCTAAATGATTACATTCTTCCTTAAGCAGAAGACTTTGGATGTGCCATGCAGTGGTGTCTGTTTATTACTTATTTTGCTCTTTGATAAAAAAGACCCCTGGCAATAAAAACTGGGTCACACTATTGCCCTCTGTGCACATTAGTCTCTTGTATTCAACTTTGCTGGTTCTTTGGAATTTTCCTACTCTTTAGCATAATTTTGATGATTGAAAAATATTTTGGAGAGGATGGGTCAGGTGCTTTGCCTCCATAGCGTTTTGAAGTGCCTGCATATGAACAAAGTAACAGTTCTGTAAAAAAGGAAGCCCATTCCACTTTTCAAGTATGCTTTGTTTTAAGCCATAAAGACACTGTTGTCATTTGTCACATTCTCCTAGACTTTTCAAAAAGGGGTTAAAAAAAAGACTGACTAGAAAGATAATTATGTGGATCAAATCTCATATTCACCTTTCATTTATAAAATTGTTACTCCTTCCATACCGTCTCTTCTTTGTCTTTAAGTGTGTTCCTGTAGGCATGCTTATTTATTTTTATTGCCTCAAGGTAACATTTAAAATGTGTGTTAAAGTAAATAAATCCACTTTTTTTTTTTACTTTATTATTGCATTTATAGAGATTTAATTGTACTTTGTAATTTATTTTTCTTATTAGCCAAAAGTTCAATGCGTTGTTTTTGATGAATTAGGCACCAATATGAACATCACAAATCAGGACATTATGTATCGTTGTTGCTCTGAATCCTATGAATGATCTTTTCTTGATTTTAAAGACCTACACTCAATCTAGAAAACTTGCTGTATAATTTGGTCAACAGTTTCTGCTCTATCTATTTGTATACCGTTATGATGTCTTAAACTACAGGAGTTACATACTGAGTTTTTATTTTTGTTTCCTTTGAGCAAGGTAGATGGATGTTTTGGCCATTATAATGTGAAACCACTTCTTCTTTCTTTACAGTATTTGACCAAATTTGTGTGTCTATGATATTTGTAAATACATGCGATATCTGTATTTCTTATCATAAGCTTGTTTAGTTTTATTCTCAGTAGGGTTTTTTGGACTGTACAGTGTTTATATGATCTGAACTCCTTATACATAAGAAGGTGTGTATATTAATCCAATTATGGACTTAAAATATTTTAAAAGTATAAATACCCTTATTTGCTGCAAAGACCAGTGTGTAGACATTTGCTTTTTAGCAATATTTTTAAGTGCTCCATTTTAATGCCAAGGAATAAATCTTTTGGCAACACAAACTGGTCAATAATAGGTAATGCAGGTATGTTCAGGTTAAGCCAACAATGTTTTGCATTTTTATGCTTCTTTTCTGTCAACACTAATGAAGTCAACATTGCCTGAATGTCTGAATAATGAAACACATCCCTGTTTAAAAGTATGTAACTGAAAAAGGAATAAAAAATAAAGGTAGTTTTTTTAAACTTGCTTTTTTCCCTTTCCTCTAATTTTGGGTGAAATAATGCCACTGACTAACTTAAGATAGGAATTTTAAAAATTCAATTCATTCAGTTTATTATATGTGAGAAGCAGAGCTAAATGAATATGCTTTTATTATTTAGTTTTTGTTTTTGTTTTGCTTTGTTGGAATCCAGTTGTAAAGAACACACACCAGGAAAGATCTAAGTTTTCTTTAAAGATCTAAGTTTAAATAATTTTTTACACTTCTCTCAACTACTTAATAGAGCAATTAATTAAAGCTGTTATCTTCTGTTTGATAAACTAAGGAAAATAAACAATCATTTTATTTCTTTTTGAAAATTAAATCATATTATGTTCACAGAAATTAAGAATTAGTAATCCAATTTTAATGAATTATTTTAACATGGTTGCAGATGGAGAGCATATATTTGTGACAGTATCACATGGTTTATCATTGTGCTAGGTTCTTTAGGGGGGTTAAAAAATGGTATTAATGGCATTCTACTTATTGAATGATGCTATAGGTGAGATAAAGCAAAGTAGCACATACTCAGCCTGTGAATAGTGTGGTAAGCACCAAAGACATTCAGAAGTGGGAGAGAGATCTGGTGATGACCCATACCTGTTAAAAGACCCTATCAAAAAAATCTGATTTATGATTAGGGTTCCAATCTGAATGATTGTGTAGTTGCATTAGTCAGAACCCTTTGAAATGCAAGTGACAGAATCTTAATCTGGCTTAAGCAATAGAATTGCACATTATTTCATTTAACTGAAAACTTCAGGGGTAGGATTGGCTTCAGACATGCTTAAGCTCAGTGTTAAAACAGGAATCTGTCTTTCTCCAGACCTCCCAGTTTGCTTTTCACCCTGCTGTGTCATTGTCAGGTAGACTTTCCTTTTGGAATGGTAAAGTGGCCACCCAGCAGCTTGATACTTCTGCTCTACCATCTTGGTAATCTCAGCACAAACAAAGGGCCATTTTTCCCAAGAGTTCCAAAAAAGTCTTGAAACTTACATTTATTCCCTAATTGGTTCATGTGCTCAACCCTGAGCCGATTACTATGGACAGAGAAATGTTCTCCCAGTGGTTGAGTCTGAGTCATGGGTCAACCTTCAGAAGACACACTGGACTGAGAAGTGAGGTAGAAAGGGTATTACTCAAAAGGAAATTAGGATATTGTTATCCAGGAGAGTGAATAGCTACCGAGCAGGCAAAAATCAGCCAATATCCACTGTCATGATGAGAGAAACAAAATATAGTATAAGAGCAAACCTAATACTTTTAAATTAGAAGACTATCAGTATTATTGAAAATTTTATGAATCTGAATATATTATTAGAAATCACTTTTATAGTCAATGAATACATTTGAAAATGGGAGGTTACAAGTACCTTATTTGGTGTGTGTTTTTGTTTTTAGCTTTTCAGGGTTTTGGTGATAGAATTGGGTTAGAAGAGTTAAAAGCTTATTTTCTACTAGAGTACTAATAAATGTAATTATAAAGCTTTGCTGATGTTTAGGATAACTAGTTTCTTCGTGCCCAGATCTAATACAGAACCACATAAGTTATTTTTTTAAGAAATTTACTTCTTCATAAGAATACATGGATCATAACCAAAGAAAGGACTCTATAGAAGTAATATCAGGTAATATTGCTGGGGTATGAAAATGGTTCTGTTAAAAGAAACAGTTGTTCATAGGGACGTTTACTATATTGTGATTTTGCTTAAGTGGCCAAACACTCTGGAACTTCTGCGGATTAGGGGTTGGCAAACTTTTTGGGGTACAGTTTAGGCTCTGTTGGCCAAGAGGCAAATTTGAAGCTTTTATATACTTATGTAATAAGGAAGAAAAGTTTTCACATGCATTTTATTGATGAAATTCAAAATATATTAAGACTTGGATACAATTTTTTTTTCATAGCACAGGTCTACTAATGATAAGAATTGAATTATTTTGGGGGGGGATAATATTTCACTAAATTGGGGTTTGAAGTTGACTGCAAATACTTATCTGTAAATGTTGACCTGTAATGTGATTTTTTGCCTTTCATCTCAGAAAATGTCTTTTCACACAGATAGGTACTACCAAATACTGTTACCAGTCAGTGTGATTTTAATTTAATATATTAATCATTTGGAAAGTATTTATAGAATTTTATTAGATTCTATTCTTGGTATTTGCCTTTTAGCATATAATTACATTGCAGATTAATCACTTCCTATTGAAGGTTAGGTGGATGCTCCTCGATTGTACAGTTAAGTGGATATTGAAACACGAAAATTTCTTTGGCACTTGCATTGAGATCTAAAAATGCAGCTGAACTGTAGTTGAGTTTGAAACATATATCCACTTCAAATTTGTGTGGAAATGGAGATCTCACTTCTTGTTTTAACTTGACAGCATGGGAAGTGTATAAAGCAGCTTGATATTACTTGTGATTTAATCAACAGTGGTTGTAACCAAAATGACCTTGTCACAGTATACGTTTCGCATATAAGTGCTGTTTTGCCTTGTAATTTTAGTTTGAATCTATTAAGATCCATTATCAAGTCCACAGCAAAAGCTAATTTCCAAAGACATTTAGTGTTTGATAATAGTTGTGGGTGATTCTTCTCAGTCATAACAATTTCAATCTTGGTTTTGAGCTAAAAAAAATTGCACTAAAATTTTGCCACTGCCATCAAACTCCTTTGTAGTAGGGCAAGTCAGGATATTCAGCTTCTATTTCTGACAAAAACTTAATGGAACCAGTGATGGTTAAGACCACAAGAGTGAATGAAATTTGCCATTGATTTCACTACTTTAATAACATAGTTGATTCATATATTTTTCACAAGGTATCTGCTGATGAATAATACAGTATATAAACCATTGACTAGACATCTGGCATTTTCACAAGCTTTGTAAATTTGTCCAACTAAGCTTTTTCTGCTCCACACATATTTTTACCATCAGTTGCAACACATCTTAGCAGATCCCACTTCAGGTTATACTGAATTCAGGCTTTCTTAACTTCTTTGAAAATATTTTTTCCTGTAGTTGTTCCATGCAGACTATTCATAAAGGCTAATTCTTGAGTCACTTTAAACTCAGCATCAACTTCTCAAGTAAACAACAACTGGGCAGTATTGGTAACACCTGTGGACTCAACAAAAACCAAGGAACTACTTGCCTTGTAAAAAATCATTTGCCTTGTTTTTAAATTGACAGTTGGTGTTACCACACTGTTCTCATGTCTTCAAAGAACTGTTCTTGCTGAAACACTAGTAGTCATAAACAAGCTTATATTCTCCGGACACACTTTCTGGCTACTGCAATCAAACATAATTTAATTAACTCTCATTTACTATCAGTAAATAGCTTTCTTTGCTTGGCTAACAAATGAGCCACTCAGAAAGTTACTTTGATTGTACTCTATTCTCTCTCTCTCTTCCTCTGTTTCTGTCTCTCTCTTTTTTTTTTTTTTTTGAATAAATTCTGCTATGATGAGATACTATGTTTTAAGTTTTCTAATTGTTCTGACTGTTGCTTTCCTATGAGTTGGGAATATTGTGNCTATGTTTTAAGTTTTCTAATTGTTCTGACTGTTGCTTTCCTATGAGTTGGGAATATTGTGATGAGTGCTTAGTCTGGAAATATATTCTTTTAGCACAGCTAAAGTGTCATTGCATAATAAACACAATGCTTCACCATGTAATTGTATAACAAAATAATACACTCTCCACTGTGCCTTAAAAGTGCAACACTCAAAGTTTACTTTTTTTTTAAAACTTTTTTTGATATGATGAATATGCACTAGTATCAAGAAGTAATAAAATGTCTGACAATTGTGTGGTACTTGAAATGCTATCAAGTTATAACCATCACTGAGATTTGTAGTGTGTTGTACAGCAGTGCAAAGCAGTGAAAGCACCACATATGCTTTATGTCACAACTTTTCAACTCTGCCTTTGTAGCATGAAAGCAGCCATAGACAAAATGTAAATGAATGAATATGGCCGTGTTCCAATAAAATTTTTTATTTATGGACACTGAAATTTGAATTTCATATGATTTTTATGTGTCATGAAATATTCTTTTGATTTCTTTTGACCACTTAAAAATGGAAATATTATTTTTAGCTTGTGGTCTGAACAAAAATTGGTGGCCTGCAGACCAGAGTTGCCAGCCTCTGTTCTAGAGCACATTGGAAAGATTTGGATGTTTGAGATAAATTATTTTTTACCTAATTGAATAAAAGTACTTATCAAAAGTTGACTTTTCTTCCTTTATAAAAGAAAGGAGCATTTTGAAATAGTATGAATAATTAAAATGTCAATGCAACCACAGCACATATGGGAGTTGAAATAAAGCAAATGTGGCTAGTCTGGCTTCCATATGAACTTAGATGTTGAAGCAATACATAGTTTTGGAAAGAGAATGAATTTCGGGATCAGACTAAAATGAATCCAAATTTCTTCACTTAGCATGTGAGAATTGTGACAAGTTACTTTAACTTCTTACCTTCAGTTTCCTCACCTCAATTTGGATGGCTTCTTTGCAATGTGGTTCTGAGGATTAGTGATAAAATAATAGCTCTTAATGCAAGGTACCTTTTACCATTACTTTCATAATAAAGTACTATTTTAAACTGAGCAACACCTTGATTTCTCATTCAGTGTGTATGCTTCTGCTCTTTGAGACAAGAGTAAAGCCTGGTATTTATTAAACTTTGTCTTAGATTGAAGTCATTATTCCTATCTGTTTAAAAGTATTTGGAACATAATTCTATCAGTCTTTCTTTAATGACAGCAATAAATTCAAAATCATTAATTTTATACCTTTATTGATAAAAATGACAAACAGGAGATGGCCAGGGCAAAACTCTGTGTCAAGCCACTGTAATACTACATTAAGGTCAATATCAATCCATTAAACCAATAACACTATGTCTAAGTGTTCTCTCTAATGTATGGGGATCCTTTACCACTACTTGACTAACATTCACTATTTATCACGT